GGCCAATATACCTCTGCGAGTATCACCAAGATGGGCTGCTCCGCGAGCTCTCCCTTGCCCTGTGACGACCCCAAGGGCACCGCCACTATCGGCGAGGACAACAATGGGAACGCCCTCTTCCTCACTACCAAGGGCATCTACCAAGTCGTCCATCCCTCCCTTTGCCACTTTGCCACCGGGGACGGGGGTGCCGGCGCCGGTAATGGAAGACATAATCGTTCGCGGGCGCATTGGCCACCAACGTTGACGGAAATGCATGTAATACATCACATTCCAAAATAATGATGCATGCAGTGTCGATGCGAGTCGCCGAGTTAACCTATGTAATGCAGTGTTGAAGGAAATGCTTTAGAGATTAGCTTCCGGAAAAGAAGTTGGAACTTGATATGAGTATTCTATTAATCCTATTAAACTCTAGGCCGGAATGTTACATACGAAATTTTTTTGATGACGGACGAAAATTTTACCTGAATCCATATGTATTTTTTATTAGGTATGGATTAAACGATTCCTTTAAAAAAATGTACTTACGTCCATACATATGTACAGGGTGTGTGGTGTCGGGTTTGGGAGGTAAAATTTTCTAAATCATAACAATTTAGTTCATCATGATTACCTTCGATTGCTAACTATAAAATAGGAAGCAGAGAGAGATTTGGTTTTTAGATTGATTAAGGGTGTGTTTGGATGGAGGGATTTAGGTGAATAGGACATGGCGGCATATTTTTGTGGGTGTTTGGTTCCTAGGTGGAGGTGGGATAGGGCGGCCCCGTGGGGAATATTCCCCCCAGATGCCGAATGGAGGGATCCGGCTGATTCGGCCGAATGCAACCGCCCGAGCGCTCGGGCGAGCAGGGGTGAGCGATAAGTGGGTCGCGTCACCCCTCATTCTTTATTAACAATAAACAAATGAATTGGATGGTAATTATGGATTTCTAGAGTCCAATAAGATTCTGTTATGTGAAACACATCTATGAATGTATCATGTAGAGTGTGCGGGGCTTCACACAGCCGATCGTAAACATGATCTACCACTAAATAGATCTAACTATGTGTTAACGACTAAATTTGGTAAAACTATTGATCGGATTCAAAGCTAGAGTCAAAGCGGAACTCGGCGACTCGCATCGACACTGCATGCATCATTATTTTGGAATGTGATGTATTACATGCTTCTATGATTTGTTTGGTTACTATTGATTTAGTTTAGCTATGCATGTTTATAGAGTGACTTATAATGATATAATATATGCTGACAAGTTTTTTTCTTGTATTTCGTTGCTATTTGGATGACATACAAAGTGCATGGGTCAAACTGTGGCCAAATAATATATTTATTACATAGCAAAATATAGGCATGTGGATCTTAAATTGTCAGTTTAGTTATAAATATATCATTAGTTAGATTAGAAGTAAGACATGTATCTTGAAAAAATATCATCATTTCAATATACAATTATTAGTTGTTTCTTCTTTAGTTTTATAGTTAAATAACCCAAAAGGGTAGAGGAATGAAGAGCGTGGATTTTGAGGCACGGAAAGGGGGTTGGTAGTTATATGCGCATGTGAGGGGTGCTGGATGTGAAGGGGACTTTGTGTTTCTAATTTTTCTAAATTATATGAGTGAAAACTAACTATTTGGTGCTTTATTTTTTTTCTTAGTTTGGCGGTTTAATGTTTTCCTCAAAATAGATCTAATTGTTGGAAATAATGGGTTGCTCAATAATGATTAGAAAATAGATGTAGAAAATAGATCGATTGTTTTTATATTAAATTGTTAGTTAGAAAAATACTCTCTCAGTATTTTAATGTATGACGCCGTTCACTTTTTAATCAACGTTTGACCATTCGTTTTATTCAAATTTTTGTGCAAATATAAAAATATTTATGTCATGCTTAAAGAACATTTGATGATGAATCTAATTAAGTCACAATAAAATAAATGATAATTATATAATTTTTTTAAATAAGACAAATGGTCAAACGTTAGATAAAATGTTAACGGCGTTATACATTAAAATAAAATATGGAGGTAGAAGGAAAAAAGAGATCAACTGAACAGGAGAGATACTCAGGCGAATCGCATATATGTGCATGCATACGTACGGCAATCGACAGGAGGATACATACATGCGTTTGTTTTGTTTGGAGATGTATTCGATCGGTCCACTACCAGGAGAAATAGAGGAAGATAAATCTAATATTCGAATATAGTGGATCAGTGTGGGAGAGGAAAAAGACGTGAATTGTGGAGTCCTTTTAAAGATAAATCTAATATTCGAATATAGTGGGTCCACCGGTTTATTAGATTGCCACTTGTCAGTTTAGTATCCACGTGACGGCTTAAGAGTGTTTATAGGAAGTTTAATGGACTTTTAGTATATAATAGTTAGATAGATAGACATATGGATTTGTTTTTTAAAAAATAACTCCTTAAGTTGGTTCTAATATTTTGCTCTGTTAACTGCTGAAAGTATAACTTTGCATAAAAAGCACACGTTGTAGAACTTTTCTAGTCGTAGCTAGGTCTATTATCAGTTTTCTAGGCTCAAATGGTTTCCTCTGGAACCGGCCTTATTCGATTAATACCTTCTCCAAAGGGATATATTGAGAAGAATTTGAAGAGAATTAATCTCCTCAATCTCTTCCAATCGCTTCTTCATCATCATTTCAGCACACAAACGGAACTCCAAGAACTAACTTTCAACCGAGCACAGGGCAGATCAAATCATTTTTGGTGTAAACGTTTGTTATATCTAGCTAGGGAAAAGAACTGGCTCATACCTGCAGTTTGAGGGTTGGTGACGCCCGTACATCATTGCAGAACCAAATCAACATCGGTCCTAATTAAACTCTGCTGCCTGTTACTCCCTCAGTTTCATAATGTAAGACTTTCTAGCATTGCTCATATTCATATAGATGTTATATATGTCTAGATTCATTAACATCTATATGAATGTGAACAATACTAGAAAGACTTACATTATGAAACGGATGAAATACCTGGTAATTAAGTAGAGAAGAAGTTAGATTAGCAAGGTGACACTCATGAACTGCAGAGCTGAAGAGTAGAAATTAGCAAGCAAGCATGCATGCAGCCAGCACAAGGAAACAAAGGAATTAAAGCTAGCGTACGCGCGTTCTTCTAGCTTGCTGCTCTAGCTAAGCGACATGGTTGAATCCAAGCTCTCGCTGGTTATTCATCATGGATACTAACACAGCATTTGCTTGCTGCTCTATAGCTAGCAACATTTGCAAGCATATGGGTTTAATTTGCAAATGCTGTTGCTCTTCGGTTTAGTACTGAACGGCCATGGCTACTATATACTCGTTCTAAATCTGGGCAATGGGAGTAGTATGTGAAACGGCCAGGTCGACTCTTGTTTTAAAAAATATGAAACAAAAGTAAACTAAAACAAGGACCTCCAAATGTAAAAGTAACTAAAGGTCTCAGCTTTCATGGATGTGAGACTGATAGTGGGGATCCATCAGAGACACCAAGCCGTATGTCCCCACAATGTCAGTCTCTGTTTACGGATAGTCTTCTCGCAAGCGGCGCCCCGGTGTGAGATAAAAGAAATGTCTAGTCATAAGATAACCGGATGATACAAAAGCTCGTTAGATCAGACCACGTTGTGCTCTAAAAAGAAACAATCAGACCACATTGTGACAGCTAATTATGCACCCATAGATTGTATAAATAATAACACACACACCAGTCGGCTTGGAGTAAAAAAATTTCGACTGCCAGCATCGATTTATTAAGGGCCTATTTGGTACAGCTTCAACTCCTAAATATAACTTCAGGAGTTGAGTCTGGAGTAGAGTTGTGGAGCTGCCTAAACCCAGCTCCACAACTCTAGTACATTTTGTGAGAGAGCTCCGTCCAACTCCACTCCTAGTTTTGGTGGAGCTGAAACTGTTTAGCTGAGCTCCAGCTCCAGGAGGGGTGTAGCTGGAGCTGTGCCAAACAGGCCCTTAGTGCCCACTAGCTCATCACGCAGCAGGGTGAAATAGAAGACTGGATGGCCTAATCTGTTGCCGAAGGGTTGGGAATACCCCCGACGCTGCTGCCAGGTGTAAAAATATAGGTAATGTGTGGTACAACTATATGTCTAAAATTGAAAACCGGAATCTTAGATTCCTTATAAGGACCGGGTTATTAAAAAAGCTGTACCAATAATCATTAGTACCAATAATTATTGGTATCGATTTATTTAATAAACCTAGACTTGCAATAGATCGAGTTATAGGTACCGATTTTTAAGAAAGCCGAGCCGAGCCGAGAATGAGAGTGGGCGAGAAAAGAGAAAAAAGTCCTTTTCAAAATCGCCATTTCCACCGAGCCCCATCCCTTCCCCCATCCTAATTAATCCTCCTCTCCTCTCCTCTCCTTCTCTGATAGTTTCTTTTTAGAGTACAACGTGGTCTGATCTGTACATGTATTATCCCCATTATCTTATAGCTAGACTTTTCATCACACCGGGGTGGCGCCGCTTGCGAGAAGATCACCGTAAACAGAGACTGACATTTCGGGGACATGCGGCTTGGTGTCTCTGATGGACCCCACTATCAGTCTCAACCCACGAAAGCTGAGATTTTTAGTTACTTTTTATACATTTGGAGTCCTTCTTTTATAGTTTAGTTTTATATTTCCAAAAAACATGGCTCGACCTGACCGGCTATTTCATGTGCTCCGACGATCCACATTGCCTGGATTTAGAATGGGATCACAATAAAGCCATGGCCATTCAGCATTTAGGTTGTGTTTAGTTCCACACTAAAATTAGAAGTTTGAAGAAAAAAAGTTAGAAATTTATGTGTGTAGGAAAATTTTGATGTGATGGAAAAGTTGAAAGTTTGAAGAAAAAGTTGGAACTAAACCATGCATTAACTGATCGAGGAGAGCAGCAGCATATTTGCAATCAAGCTAAGCACCCTCGTAGCACTCTGCCTTTGCATCCACTAGTAATCGTGCACGTGCAATGCACATTAGAAAATACAACTTAAACCAAATATATCGCACATATGCAGCAGCCTGATTTGTTTTTGAAGTGAGACTACCTTCACACCGCTGTAGCCAATAATTTCATAAGGTGAATTTTGCAAGTCGGTAGCAAGGTCCTTGACCAGTGTGAAGATTGCCTCCTCTATCATCATTGGCTGCACATAGCAGTGAAAAGAGTAATTCAAAATTGCATATATACCTTGAACCAGCCATCGAATGTTTCTGACACCTCCGAAAGGCATGAACTTGATACTGTGACATTCTAATATGGACAGGAGCACCAGTATGAAAGATAATCAATACAACAAAAGAACAACATCAAATGATCAATGCAAATGAGGTTCAATTTTTTGTGCGTATTTATTTACCTGTTGTTACAGACAATTGTGGTCTAGAGCTTCCTGCATTGTCCATTGAATTAGCCTGGGGAAAGTAATTAACTGAGAAGTAACATATAAATGTGTTATCAGCTATTTTACATCCGCATTATATATATTAGCACTACACAAGAAAACTTCAAATGTCTAAGCTATCGTACGTGATTGGTTCATAAGTAAAACAGCTTTGCAAATGAGGCTAAATTTGGTGTCTAAGCTATCCTTATAGACAATTGTGATGTAGAGCTTCCTGCGTTGTCCACTGAAGTAGCCCGAAGTAAGTTATTCTTTTAAAAGTAAGATACAAATATACAATTGGCGCACACCATTGAAATAATTAACTGAGATATCAATCAATCAATCAATGTTGGGTTAGAAGCATGGCTTAGGAATGAACTAACCTCATTGGGAGCCTTCATGATAGCTACACCAATTTCACCATTTCAGTGATGAGGAAAAAAAATCAATTGGCAAGTCAAGTAAAGCACTGTAATTATGTAAAGCAACGAAGAAATCATCACCTTTGACATTGCCCGAGCTCCATGCAGCAGTATACGGTAGGCGTGCTGCACAAAGTACTTCCTTGGGTCTGTCAGTTTCACCTATGGATTGAAAGTTTTGCAAAATGAAATTATTAGTCACCCTGCCTCCAAATGCATCATAGCTGCAGCAACCTTAGAGTGAGAAAAATGAAAAAGGATAGCTGCAGCAACCTTAGAGCGAGAAAACTGAAAAAGGAAAATCAGTTGGTCATGTTCATCAGTTGCATGAAGCAACATATGGTTCTCTTGGTACCGTCTCATCAGCCAGGACATCAAGAAATGAAAAAAAAGGAAGATCAGGCCAGAGAAGCATGAATAGAACGCAACCAAAATCAAAGGCTTGTAATTGGTAAGGTACATGAAGTATTTTAAGCTGGGGGAGGGTGCATACGAGGGAGCGTATAACTCATGGATCTAATCAGATGCAAACAAGAAAGGAGCAAAACAGCAGAAAACATTCGGCTTTTTGCTCCCCTTTTCCACCAGTGACCTAGATCGCAGGCTGCCTCTATCCTCACGCAGCAGCTTTGGCCCCTGGGATCTACGCTCCGCACCGAAGCCTTGCAGGCAAAGCGACGAAGGCATATATGGCGGGTGGAGTTTCCGATGGAGCTGTTCGTGGCGACGGCTAGGAGGTATGGCGTCCAGGTTTCTTTGCGAGACAGGGCTTGCGGCGAGGATATGGTAGCACACGGCAAGGAGGTTCGCCCCCCGGGGGGTGCGGAGAGGACAGGGCTTGTGGTGCCGTTACAGGCCGCCGGCAGGGTGTGGCACGACGTGAGAGGGGTGGAGGTGTAGTGGGCGGCTGGAGCCTGGAGGTTGGGGTTTTGGAACCGTGGCACAGGTGAGGCGAGGAGGGCCGAGGCGGTGACTGCGCTGGCGGCGGAGACGGAGTAGCCCCACCAGCACCAACGGAAGAGCGCACCACTGCGGCACCGATGGATGAAGGATGCGCGCAGTCGCACGGAGGAAGCGATCTGTGGAGGCATGACGGATGGCGGCGGTGTTTGCGGGCTAGGATGGCGCGGCGGCGGTGTTACCGGGCGGAGATAGCACGATGATAGCGCTGATGGTTGTCAGTGCGAGGAGCAGCGCGTCCGCTCGTTGGACGAACGGATGAGAATTTCACTTGGCGGATGGACGGTAGGGATTGATCCGGGTGATTTGGCCCGTAGGATTGGAGGTGTACAACTCCTTCTTTTTATATTAGTATAGATGATTTACCAACCAGCTTTAATTAGCACTACAAGAATCTATTTAATCTATGACGAAAAAAATTCATCATGGATCACTGAAAATTCGTCATAGGAATTTGTCCGTGACGATTATACTTATTGTCATCTATTGAGCGTCACAGATTAAATCTGCCGACGTTTTCTCCGAAATCGTCACGGATCAGCACAATCTATAACGTTTCTTAAAAGTCATAAAACACTTATGGGCTAGTGTAGTCCAGCCCAGGCCCAACCTGTATGACGAAATTAAACGTCACAGATGGTTGCCACATGGCGACCAACATGGCAGGTGACGTGGTCGTTTTGACACGTGTGCAATGACGTGTCACTGATGACGTGGCAGCTGACGTCAGCAATTTTTTTTATATGGCCCATTATTTTTAAACAGCCCATTAATTTTTTTAACTGACCCATTTCAGAACTAGGCTCATTTCAAAACTGGCCCACTTTGTCAACTATCAGATTAAAGCCTACTAAACAGACACATCAAATTCAATCCAATTTCTCATACCATCTCAGATTCAAACATAATAATAGATACCATCTCAGATTCAACTAATAACAGATACAATCAGAATACAACAGAATTCAAACAATAGTTCATCTCAGATTCAACCTAATAACAGGAAATCTGAAAACAGAAAACCAAAACAAATCTTTCGAACATTCGATGGAATCACTCCTTGCTTCTCGTCCTCTACTAATTGCTTTGTCTTCACCAAAAGCTCCACCAAATTTCTGCAATAACGCTGAGACAGTTAGCATTTTTCCTGCCTTGAGAAAATATTAGGCTACTATCAAAGTTGTAGAAATCATCGAGGTGCAAAATTTTTATTTTGGTTATTTCTCCATCTAACTCTATATGTACAATTTGAAATTTAAAATTCAAAGTTTAAGAACTTTAAATAGAATTGTTTATTAGTGAACGATTTCAACTAAAAAAGTCTTCAACAACAAAGTTGTATAACTCATCAATATCTAAAACTTTTATTTTGGTCATTTCTTCATCCGACAAAGCGATTTGTAACATTGTCCACAAAATGTATATATCTCCTATATAGTTTATAAACTATAAGAGAGATATGTAAATTTTATGAACAATATTACTATCACTTTACCGGATGAAGAAATGACCAAAACAAAAGTTATAAATATTGATGAGTTATACAACTTTGTTGTTGATGATATTTTCGGTTGAAATCATTTAGTATTTGAAAATGTTGTTTGAAGTTGTCATAATTTGAAATTCAAATTCAAATTACTAAAACAAAGTCATATAGCAAAATGACCAAAACAAAAGTTGTACATATTGATGAATTATACAACTTTGTTGTTGATGACTTTTTCAGTTGATATCATTTAGTATTTCAAAATATTATTTTAAGTTGTCATAATTTGAAATTCAAATTTTATATAGATAGCTGAAACTCAGATGGAGAAATAACCAAAATAAGATAGGTGGATCTCAATAAGTTATACAACTTTGTTTTTGATAACTTTTTCACATAAGTTTATTTAGTATGATAAAATTCGATTCGAAGGTTTAATATTTTGAAATAATTGAAAGGAGGGAGGCAAAATGGACTTCTTGGTGAGGGAGGAGCAAAAGGCCTGTTACGGGCCAGCCCTTTTGCTCATCCCTATCCGATAAATCATCAATATCTATAACTTTTGTTTTGGTCATTTTGCTATATGACCCTGTTTCAATAATTTGAATTTGAATTTCAAATTACGACAAGTTCAAACAATATTTTCAAATACTAAATGATTTCAACTGAAAAGGTCATCACCAACAAAGTTATATAAATCATCAATATCTACAACTTTTGGTTTGGTCATTTTGCTATATGACTCTGTTTCAATATTTTGAATTTGAATTTCAAATTATAACAACTTCAAACAACATTTTCAAATACTAAATGATTTTAACTGAAAAAGTCATCAATAACAAAGATATATAAATCATCAATATCTACGACTTTTATTTTGGTCATTTTGCTATATGACTATGTTTCAATAATTTGAATTTGAATTTCAAATTATGACAACTACAAACAACGTTTTCAAATACTAAATGATTTCAACTTAAAAAGTCATCAACATCAAAGTTGCATAGCTCATCAATATATATAACTTTTATTTTGGTCATTTCGTCATCCGATAAAGTGATAATAACATTATTCACAAAATTTACATATCTCGTTTTGAAATATTTAAATCGTGACGAAATTGCAATAACGTCACAGGTTTTGGACCGGTTTATGACGAAATCGATAAACTGTCACGGTAGTATGGGCCTTGTATCCATAGTTGCATATCCGTGACGATATCTGAAAACATCATGAAAATTTCGTCAAATTTCGTCACAGATTAAATAGATTCCTGTAGTGTAGCTTGCAATTAATTAGCACTCGGCTTTTGCATCCATGGATTACCCTCGCGTAGCACTCTGCTTCTGCTGTTTTGCATCCATGAACCAGCGAAGCTTTGATTCAACCATGTTTGCTAATCTCTGTTCTCTCCAGCGCTGTAATATGTATGTACGTATCACCTTGCTAATCTCACTTTTCTGCTTTCGAGATAACAAGTGTGCCGAATTTTTCGAGTTATCTGATGTTTGGCCGTTCTGCGCGATGCACAGGCCGGCGCCACTGGCAACTCCTAAATAGGGTGCTCCATCCGTCCGATAAAAAACGAATCTATATTCGGATGCGACACACATTCTAATACTACGAATATAAATATAGATATGTCAAGATTCATATCTAGTACGGTTGTTTTTTTTATGGGACAGAGGGAGTACGAGCCAGTTCTTTTCTCCCTACATATAACAAACGTTAATTTACACAAAAAATTAATGATTTCATTCATCTGTTCTGTACTCGGCTGAAAGAGGTTGGTCCTTGTAGTTATATGGTTCCGTTTGCATGTGTGTTCAAATGTTTCATGGATGGGTACGTAGGCTTACGCACGGCACGTTAATGAATCAGCGAAAAACAGATCAGTAAAATGGGTTTCTTCTGGGAAACCATTAATAGCCCTATGTACGACTAGAAAAGTTCAACAACTTTTTAACCAAAGTTACACTTTCAGCAATTAACAGAGCGAAATATTAGAATCAAACTAAGGGAGATGGACAAAATCCAGAATCTACCTCGCCCCATCTTCATGTCCTGTGAAATTAACACAAGAGTTAATTACCAATAGGACCCCCTTCGTTTGCTTTGATTTGTTCGGTTAATTTCTTGTTTTGAAGAAGTAATTAATCCTTGACGCTGGACGAACCTCTTGATATCTAGTCGGTATACTTACATGATTTATTAATTTTTTTTCTACAAATATCGAGGGTGTACTGCGGTGTTGCCTTTCCCATCAAAATATCATTATATAGGCAAATATCTAGAGACAACGAATCTGGACATTCATACATCCAGATTCATTGTACATGTCATCCCATTCTAGATTCGCTTTTTACAGGGCGGAAGGAGTACACGATGACATGCATGCCTAGCTATTTGAATTCCAACAGGCGACGCTGAAGGTGGCCCGGTCACCTGACTTCTGATTCGAATTACCATTACAGCCCATGCATGTACGTGCACTATTACAAAACATCAAATAGGTGTCGGCACTATAGGTGCTGGAAGTGCTAAATTAAACCGGCACCTATAGGTCTTTTCCCATTTCCGCGGGTTGAAATCTAAAAAACCGGACACCTTTAAGCAATTATAAGTGTCGATTCTAAATAAGAGCCGACACCTATTCTATATGTGTCGGTTTTTACCTATAAAATATTATAGGTATCGGTTAAATAAAAACCGACACCTATAATATATTTTAGGTGTCGGTTTTTTCAAAAAACGACACTCACAGAAATCGAGATGATCCGGCAATCGGATGAGCCGACCGGCGGGCCCCACCACGGCGAGGAGACGAGGAGATAAAGTTCGATCTCACGTATCTCTCATCTCGCTCTCTTCTCGCTGTCTCCCTCCCTTCTCTCCCGTTGCCGGCGACTGGCCAGTAGAGGCAACAACAGCGACCGTGCCCTCCCCTCTACCAGATCCGGCGGGAGGGGAGGTAGCGGCGGGGTCGAAAGTAGGAGGGGCGGCGTCAGCGGCAGGGAGGGGGGGTGGCTGGATCTGGCGTCGGCAACGGGCGGGGTGGCCGGATCCGGCGTCGGCAGGGGTGGCGGGCTCGCCGGGGGTAGGTGCCGGTAGATGGCGGGCTCGAGGAGGGTAGGGGGCGGAGCGCTCGCCGGCGGGAGACGGTGATCTGCCGCGGGGAGGAGCCCTCCCCTCCACCAGATCTGGCGGGAGGGGAGGCGATGAAAGGGGCGGCGGGCTTGCCGACGGGAGACGGCGTGACGGGAGGTGGCACGACGGCTCGAAGATGACCGACCATGCAACGGAAACAATGGTGGATCTGAAGAGGTGTGATTCTTTTTTTTTATTGTATAAATTTGGGTGCCAAAAATTGTGTTGTGGGATGAATGTTGGACGAGTGGATAGTGATATGTGGATGAATCCATCTGTGGATGGATATGAGTTGATGGATGATGATATTCTTGTTCTTGTTGTGGTGTGGATGGATGCAGATGTGGGAGGGGGGACTGCTTGGCTCAATGCATTGGCTCGATCGAGCTAACGCATCGAGCCGGCTTTTTTTTTTTGATTCGTCGAACCTAAAAGGTGTCAGTACTAAGGAATTGAATCGGCACCTATTTAATTTTTAAATCAGGGCCGCCTCTCTAGGGCTGGTTGGGAAAGCCGACACCTGAGGGG